TGTTCTAAGTCTACTTCTCTGAAGCAAAATTAAGTATTTGAATTTACTCTCCATGGTTGAAGAATCTAAGAGATGACCTAAGAGAAATATTTAAACTAAGGAGAGAGGCAGAAAATATCCAGTCATTCTGGTGAAATGAGTCCGTAAAAAGGCTGTGCTTCTGCCCTTTTCAAGAGAAAAATTCATGGCCAATAATTATTCAAGTAAGATATGAGGTATTTGCAAACACATCTCTATTGTTGATGATAATTTCTTTCTATTTAAGAGTTTCTGCTCTAGTAAAAGTCAGTCCCCAAATGCCACAGGTGCTTGTTACTTGTGGGGTTCTTAACCTACACAGGAATAGTACTTCCCTCTTCTTCCTTTTTGTCAGATATTTTTAACCTGGCATTAAAATTAGCAATAAAGCCACACAGAGCTACTATGAAAGAGGAAGATTCTTGACTGTGCATTGTATCATTCATGAGTCTCACTTTCTTGGAATTTTCCCTGAGACAGGAACAGGCCCAATGTTCTCTGACAGCCAAAAGTATTTACAAAGCAAATGAAATTTATGAAGTACTATAATGACTAGAAAATGCTGTGAGGGAGCATAATGGACGTAACAGAAGAGGATAATTACTGCAATTGGGGAGTGTTTCTGTGAAATTCTAGAGAGCGAAGTAAGAACTCATTAAGTCTTTGCATTTATTCAAAAAGAGAAAATTAAGTTTTCTTAAGACATCCAAGGATACTGGGAGCTGAACAAAAACTTTTGTACCCTAAGCTTGCCCATCCAAAGAGAAGTCAATTCGTCACTGACAGAAAAACTGGTAATTTTTACTCAAATTCAGTGATAGCAAAATGTGTTAGACTAGCAGGATTATATAAAAAGTCCCCTACTCACCAACAAAAAGACATGCAGCACTGAAAGACTGAGGGTGAGCTACCTTCATCATTAATAGTGCCCTTCACATCTTGATGGAGACATACAGTGCTAGAGTCTGATGCATTCAGTTACTGACTTCTCTTTCAGAGTGGCAATACGGGGCCTATACAATTGATTTCACGTGGGGTGCACTCTCTACAGGAAGAAAATATATCCAGTAGGCCCTAGTCTATTTAACTCAGAAAAGTAGTGCTGATAAAGCGAAAACAAAAACAAACATAAAAAAAACCCACTAAAAAAATAGTCACTCAAAGCTACTCTGAATACTTATGAAGTTCATACGGAATCTGCTAAGCATTGAGAATTTGCAGATTTCTGGAGACAACTGTACATTCTCAGTCTGGAAGAAATGCAAAGATGTTAACTCATTATTTATGGGACAATCAATTATTTTGTACTGTATATTTAAAACCGATCATGAAATGCTTATTAGTTGACAGGACAGTGGAGCAATTCCCTTTGGAATGGAACAAAGCCAAGGAGTTGGACAGAGAGGTGCCCTTACTGAGAATAATTCACTAACATAGACACAATAGTGCTCAATTTACCTAAGCATTACACATCTGACCAGCAAGATGTTTCAAGTGCCAGAAAATGACCTTTACATTGTCACTGGGTTGAAGCAGAGTGATCTGGAGCTGCAAGTTCTCAGCTCTAGAATTTTTAAGAGACAACAGATAGAAGTTGAAGTTAGAAAGACAAACAAGGAATGATATATTTTTGCCTTGGGAACATACAGAACACAGAGCCTCGGGAGGGCCCTGTGTGCCCTCCTTTCCTTGCAGATGCAACACGGCTTTACCCTTTCCTGCCATATTATTGGCCTGTTTCAGCTTAGATGTGTGACTCCTGGCTGGGCTCAAACATCCAGGTACCCAACAGCGACTTTTCTGTAATTTCTATCTCATTTCCAACAACAAAAAAGTACATCCAGTTAAATTTACATCTCATTTTCCAAAGAAACACTAGTTGGGAAAGAGCTCTGTATTCAAAATGAGGGTTTGAGATAACTCTTTGGGAGGATAAAACCAAGCCATGATCCATGGTTTATTCGTTGTGAAAGCCAGAGCCAGGATTCCCAGTCTTTATGATGGGCTGTCCAGCATCATGTTAAAACTACCTACTCTAGTCCTTCTTCCTGCCTGGTAACCAGGCACAATCCTCCCCACAATATGTGAACATTTTATCCTACAGACATCATATTCCCACACACATACATCCCACTGTGTCACCAGGATCACATCTCAGGAAACAACTGGGAAAGACAACATGGACGTAAGCTAGCTGCCAAAAACGGTTTGTCTGGTCCACAGTCCTGCTGCCTCAGGAACAAGGGTAGTAAAAAATGGCAGCAGCCAGGCTGATTTCTTTCCTGATGGGCCTCATGCAACCTTACATCAGCTGGCAAGCCTGAACTAGAATATAAGAGCTTGGGTGAGAAGAGATGTGGACAAAAATGTAAAACCCTCCCAGTTCACTGCTACGCCTGAAAGAAATCCAGCTGAAAATCCTAAATCAATTTAATTTAACCTTAAAAGGATTGATTAATTTTCTCTCGCAGTAAGATCATGTCTTTGAGCAATAGAGGTTAATAACAGATAATGTTGCATACTTCCGCTAATGTTCTCCGGTTCCTCATTTTTTAACTGAAATCCATAAAGAGGTCACAGCAATAACTAGAGATTATTTTCTTTCTATGCCAATTACTGAGATGCTCGAAGGATAAATTTCAGACTCTGATTGTGATTTTCCAAGTACACTAGGAGACTTGATTTTCCTTCCTTCTCCATGCAGGAAGATAAGCAACTGCCAGGAGGGGGATAAAGCATGACTCTTCTATCTTTGCTGAGAGGCTTAAATACAGGTTCATAGCACAGATGTATAAACTCGATAGAAGCACATACAGGAAACTACGTCAAGAAGAAGAAACTAGAACTGAATGGTTTTTGCAGTGGATCAAAAGTAAACAAATATGAGTGGCCAGTATCACTTGTATCACTTGAATTGACCCAACTGCTCAAGTGATCGTTTGTCTTCTGGCTTCTTAAGAAGAACAGGAATGAATACGAAAAATCTTTTAAATATGTATTTGAGGAGTGCCCTACTCTAATAATGAGACATAAATATTCTCTTTTATGTGGATCAAATACTCTACGATAATTCCTAATTATCAGTGTTTGGAGCTACAAAATCTGTCCTCCAAAAATGGATGACAAAATGAGATCTTGCAGATATTTAGTGTATAGTTGACTGAGTTCAGTTAGGGGTTCAGTGGCTTTGCCCCAAGATGCATTATGCTTTATCTGCATCTGAATGGTACTCGGGTAAATGAAAACTCTGAAAAAAAGTGACTTTCCAGGTCATCCTTGCAACTAAATGCCATCTGATCACAACAATCACAAGAGAAACACAGTAAACACTTTTCCCACATGGACATCTTCTTCAGGAAACGGAGAACTGGTTCATGTCCTTTAATTGAGAGAGCAGCAAAAGTTAGAACTATTAAAATCTAATTTCAGTGTATCTCTTGGAATAAAAGTAAGTAATTTTGCTATCTTATCAAGACTCCTATTTTGATGTCCCACATTGTTCATGTTGAATACGCAGTACATTCCTGAATAATTTAAAAATAATAAAAAAGAAAAAAAGAAAATTAATTTCAATTTCTAGCTTTCATTCTTCACCATGTAGCCTTTTTGCCTGAGGCACGCACTGTAAGAATATTCTACTTTATTTCTGGCTCAAATGATCTGTCCTCTCTGAGACAACCGAGAATGTGACCACGGAGCACACAAGGTTATAATGTTGAAGCTGC